AATCTGAAATTGTTGATTAAGAAATTGCTTGACGGTGTTGATTTCATCAATTGAATCACCTCCAAGAATTATATCATCTACATAAATGAGTAAAGCAGTGAAGGAAGAAACATTTTTCTTTGTAAAAAGAGAATGATCAGATTGAGATTGTATAAAACCAATTGAAAGAAGAGAAGTAGATAATTTGGCAAACCACTGCCTACTAGCCTGTTTTAATCCATAGAGAGATTTGGTTAAGCGGCAGACCTGATTTGCTTGAGGAGGTATCACGCCAGGGGGGGATCCATGTACACTTCCTCATTGAGATCTCCATGAAGGAAGGCATTATTGACATCTAGTTGAACAAGATGCCAATTCTTAACATCTGCAATAGCAAGCATGAGTCTAACAGTGGTAATTTTAACAACAGGAGAAAAAGTGTCTAAGAAATCTACTCCTTCTAATTGAGTGAAACCCTTAGCCACTAGTCTAGCCTTATGTCTTTCAATAGAACCATCAGCTTTATATTTGGTTTTAAAAACCCATTTACAACCTATAGCTCTCTTTCCAGGGGAAAGATTAGTGAAATACCAAGTCTTATTTTCTTCTAAGACTTTTATTTCTTTACGCATAACATCAATCCATTCAGGGTAACAAGCTGCTTGTTTATAAGTAGTAGGTTCAAAATTGTTAGAAATAGTAAGAATGTATTTCAAATGTTTAGAAGATATTTTTTTATAAGAGAGAACAGAAGATAGAGGATAAGAAATGATACTATTTTTAGATTTTTTGGTGTTGTCATCTCTTGAAGGATTGCAATAAGAATCGAATTGTTGGAGTTGTCGAGTACTTAATGAATTGCAATGGAAATCCTGCAGATAATATGGTGCCTTTCTCATTCTAGTAGATCTTCGAGGAGCAGGCTGGTTAGGTGTTCGATTGGAAATATCTTCTTCGTCACTTGGAAGGAAATATCTTGAGGATTTGAAAACGGATGCACATGATTAGACTCGACTTTCTTATGCATGAGATTGTTAGAATAAAAAAGAATTGAAAATCGAGTCAATGTGAAAAGATCAGTGTCATCAACAATATTAGTTTAAACATAGGGAAATTCATTTTCATAGAATATCACATTTCCGGATATAGAAATTTCTCTAGAATGTAAATCAAGAGTCACATAACCTTTGGTGCCAGGTTTATATCCAAGGAAAACACTTTTTCCGGCTCTAGGATCTAGCTTCGTACGGTTGTTATGAATTGTAGATGTGAAACAAAGACAACCAAACACTTTTAAATCATTAAGAATAGGAAGTTGATTATGCAGAATTTGGAATGGAGATTGGTTCCTTATGGTTTTACTTGGCGACTGTTGATTAGGTAGATAGCATGAACAACGAGCATAGGACCAAAAACATTTTGGAAGATTGGCTTGAAATAACAAGCTACGTGTGACATTCATTATGTGTTGATGTTTCCTCTCTACCCTTCCATTTTGTTGAGGTGTCTCTACACAAGAAGTTTGATGAATAATACCATTTTTATCATAGACTTCAGGATAAGAAAACTCTTTCCCATTGTCGATTCCGAAAATTTTAATATTACAGACCAATTTGGTTTTTAACAAGGATAATAAAATTGTTCAATAGACTCCTAGTCTCATGTTTATTCTTCATAAGAAAAAGCCATGTGTGTCTAGAGAAATCATCAACAATAGTAAGAAAATATCTATGACCATGTATAGAAGAAATACCAATGGGACCTCATATATCTATATGAATCATTTAAAAAATTGTACTGGAAACATGAATACTGTTATTAAAGGGAAGTTTATGTTGCTTGGCCGAATGACATACATCACAAATTTTTTCAGTGCTATTATGAATGTAAGGAAAATCTTTAATCATATTTTCAATTATTTTGCTAGAAGGATGTCCCAATCTGTTGTGCCAAAGATTGGAAGTGGAATAATTTCTGCTGCGAGTATTAATACTTGGTGTTGTCATCGAGTAGGCACAATTGAACTATTATTATCGATGTTATTAATATAAGACCAAGAAAAAATAGTATCTTGTTTCGTAAACAATACAAGCCATCTTTCAGATCAAGCATGCCCAATCATCTTCAATGTAAGAACATCCTGAATCTGGCAATGGTTAGAAGAAAAAATCAATTTACAATTGGAATCAATAATCAGTTTTTGAGCAGAAATTATATTAAATTCAAAATTGGGAATATGAAGAACATTATAGAGTGTAAGGCTATTTGAAATACAAACCATGCCAGCATATTTAGCAGTGACATGATTACCATTAGGTAATTTCACATGCACAGGTCTGATTTTAGTAAAAGTTAAAAAATGATTTTTATTGTAAGCTACATGATCAGTAGCCCCAGTGTCTATAATCCAAGATGAATAGAGAATACCTTTGGAGTCTTGTTGATCACCATTATTATTTTTAAACTGATTGACCCTATGAGTAGTGTCTTGATTCTTTTCTTGCGAAGTTTTAATAGTTGTTGAACTTGTTCACTCGTCAGTTGACTATTCCGAACAATGTGCACTTGATTTTTTGATTCTTCTTCTTTCAAAACGTTGTCAGTCATAACAGGTGTTGACAACGTGAATCATTTCGTTATTTTTAAACCATGGAGGGAATCCGTGTTTGGCATAACATTCATCAACGAGTATGGTGCAATTTATTGCAAAAAGTACACTGTTTACCATAGTTGGAATTCCTCCCACGTCCACGTCCTTGGTTCTTCCAAGATCCACGTCCTTGAGTTTTCCAATTTCCTTGATTGTTAAAATTCATAATAGGTCCTTGATTAGCAGCTATCAAAAGAGTTTTGGCATCAACGTGACTCACTCCTGCCAATTGTCGTTCTTGTTGCAGAATTAACAAAAAAACACGATTGATTCCTGGGAGAGGCTCCATTAAAAGAATTTGAGATTTTACAGTGGTGAATGCGTCATTTAATCCCTTCAGAAAACATATTACATGTTCGGATTCACGATAACGAGCAATGATTTTGAAGGCTTCACAAGAACATTGCAGATTGCAGGTACAACTAGGAATGAGACGCAAGGATTCCAACTCTTCCCAAAGAATTTTGAAATCTGTATGGAATTCAGAAACGCTTCTTTCGCCTTGCTTAATTGAGTGCAATTCCTGTAGCAGATCAGAAGTCCTAAAATGGTCTCCTTTTGAGAATCATTCCTTGAGATCTTCCCAAAGATCTCTTGCATTATCAATATATACAGTACTTTGAGCAATTTGATCACTTAAAGTTCGAGTTATCCAAGAGAGTACCATGACATTGCATCTCTCCCATGAGTTATGAAGAGGATCGTCTTCTTGGGGAATCTTGATGGCTCCAGTGATGAATTTTAATTTGTTTTTTGAAAGAAGAGCTCTGCGCATACTCCTACTCCAAGAATGGTAATTCGTACCATTCAATTGCTTTGAAACAAGAATCATTCCAGGATTCTCACCTGGGTGCAAATAATACGGGCTTGAAAGATTCAAAGATTCGTCAATCACAGTTTGCGTTTCTGTATTGCTATTAGCAGTTGAAGAATTGACAGAAGCCATCAAGAAAAAGAAAAAGATAGAAAAGAGAAACAGAAAGGATGCAGCTGAGGCAGAGCGGGTGTTAACCCGCTCTGATACCATAACGTAAAAACATGGATCCCATTGAGAATTTGGGAGAAAATAACAGAGAAGACAGCAGAGAAGAAAAACTAATCTAATTCATATATCGATCGAATACAAAAGGAAAAATCCAATATATATTGGAGGAAGAAAAGAAGGTAAAAAATAAAAAGGAAAAAAGTCAAATATGCAGTTAGTCAAACCTACATAAAACAATACTAACAAAAGGAAAATGTACATGTGTAACTAATAATAATTGCCTCTGCATGTTGTGATGTCTATGTTTGGTGCATATTAATTAATGATTTATTATTAAAGATTTGTATGTTGACATTGAACATGCATTGGAAAGAGGTACCATCCAAGACACTTCATCGTTAAAAATAACTAATTGAATTGAATTAGACGGGTAAAAGATCATATGGTTTACGTTAGCTGCTGAAACTCTTCATGTGGCTTGTGTTAGTTAACAAGTTATATATCAGAAGGTGAAATTTTGATAGTGGATATAGAACAGGTGAAGTATGTTGCACTTTGCATACTTTCCCCTTATCATCCCCTTAACACCTCTTTGATTATGAATAGTAGGTTTTGTCAAAATGATGTATGAGTGATATCAACTTTTCACAAAAGAAATGAATGCATAGGTTAAGCAAAAGCAACAAACATGTGGAGAAAGAATAGTAGAGCAACCACACATCAGTAACAAATAGAGTTTGAGAGGAAATGATGAATAGTCCCATAATTAGCTTGATGAATATTCGAGATAAAACAATTATTTAGATTTACCTTGTAAGAACATCAACCAATGTTTGATTTCCCTCAAACACCCACGGTCCTCTCCAGCCAAGAAAAAAAGAAAAGAAAAGTTATTTAGATTTAATTATTCAACAATCTGATTAAAAAATTGAGAAATGAATTTAATAACACGTTAAGATTGCATTAAAATTATGAAAATATATCATGAATACTTTTAATAACAAATCCACTTAGTATTTTAATAATTGTACTAAAGATACCGGTTAGCATTAAATTCTTAATTATCACTAATTATACATCTCAAAAAGTAGTGAATGCCTCTTTAAAAAGTATAACTTAACATTAACATGACATCCAGATTGCTTTTATCCTCAAACTTGTAAAGTGGCAATAAAACATAAAAATATCATTCAGTGGCAAAAAAGAGACCTGTGGCAAATGTCTGAGATTTGTTTGTACTCTTTTTTCTTGTCTCAACGACCAGATATCAAGGGACCAAATAAACCTAATATGTTCAAAGCTGTACAGTTTCAGTTGCAGTTAACAAATACAACGTTAGTAGAAAGTCACATTATGCAGGATCTTTTCTACATCACCCTTCGTGGTTCAGTACACGCTCAGAAGCAATGGATTGTAAGATGTTAATTCGGTGATCAAATTAATAGCAATATCTTTTTCTGCATTAAATATGACTTACTGTCATTTCCTTGTCCTCATGACAGGAAATCGACATAAATTACACCTCTCTGCTCAACTACAGAACTAAACCTAATCCTCATCAAAACCTGCGTCATTCATGTCCACATCGCCATCGTCATTGTCCTCAGCTTGTGCTTGATCATCAAATGCTACGGCGTTGTTAGGCTGCTCATCATTATCTACTGTATCAGTTGGTCCAATCACCTGAGAAGATTCAGCCAACTTTGTTTGCATGGAGGTCTTAGGTAAAATTAATAATAAGTTAATTAGGTTTTGTTGGAATGTTTCTTAGTGTTTAAACGTTTGTGTCTGATAGTTTTGGAAACTAGGAAATTTCTTGAATGTTTAGGAAGTGGTGTTTATTGAGGAGTATTATTATGAGACTCTTTGGTTTCTAGAGAATAAATGTTTTGGTGTAACAAAGAGTTTTTGGGAGTGTTTAAATACATAAATGTAATAATGTTTTTAACATGACAAATAATCAATAAAAGCGAAGTTTCTGATAAAGTATTTGTTATCAAATTGGTATCAGAGCTCTCAGGGACAACTTTGTTCCTCAGGAGTGCTTGAGGTTTAGGGTTCGTGAGAGTAGGGTTTGTGAGAAGAACTAGAATTCTTTAGAAGAGTGAGAGTTGAGGGTTTCTTAGGGAAAGAGTTTTGAGTTGTTTAGTGTTTTTCAAAAGAGGTTTTTTTCAATAAGGATGGTTGGCCTCACAAATGTTGTTACAATTATGTCCCAACTGACTAAGGATGTCAATTATGCTAAATGGAGTGTCCAAATGAATGCTCTCCTCAAAGTTTAAGGTGTTTGGAAGATGGTGGAGGAAGGTTTTGAACAACCTGAGACCACAAAAGGATTGACGGTCAATGAACTCAAGGAGTTAGAGAAGAAATGTGAGAAAGACAGTGTAACTCTGTTTATGCTGCAGAAGATTCCAACTTTGAGAAGATTGTAGGAGTCATATCGGCATCCAATACGTGGGACGTGTTGAAGAAGGAGCACGAGAAAGTGATGAGGCGAATTCGGTGGCCAAAGTGACGAGAAGGAAGAGGGGGCTCAACAAAACTGGTGAGGTAGTGGACCGAGAGGAGGTCGGTTAAAGAACCACTTAGATGTTGAGTGTTTCAAGTGTGACAAATATGACCATTATGCGAAGGATTGTTATTCATGAAGATGTTTCAACTATGGAAAGGAGAGACATTTCGCCAAAGAATGTCAAAAGGAAAGTGATACCTATCTTGTAGAGGAGAAGGAGACTGGAGTAACGTTGTTGATGACCGATCTTAACACGGTAATTTACAGTGAAGGAGTTCGGAGGGATACTGATCACAAGTCAGTATGGTTTTTAGATATGGGTGCAAGTAATCACATATGTGGGGACGAGCACCTATTCAACAAATTGGAGAAATTTGAGAGCGAAAATGTTTCGTTTGAAGATGCTTCGAGGATCTCAATAAATGACCAAGGTACTATTTGTTTTTTGCAGAAGGATAACCTAGTCAGGTCAATTCAAGATGTGTTTTATGTTCCAGATCTAAAAAGTAATATTTTGAGTGTAGGACAGTTGATGAAGAGAGGATACTCAATTTTCATAAAAGACCGAGTGCTCCAATAGAAAAACAAGTTTGTAAGGTTGATTGCTCGAGTTGAGAAGAATAGAATGTATAAGTTGGAGCTGAGAAGCATTCAGGAGAGGATTATAAGATCAGAGGACATGTTGAAGGTAAATTACCGATATGCTCACATGCATTTTTGTGGTTTAAGAGAGTTGATTCATGATGATAATCATGATATTGTCCAAGTTGGTGATGCAAGTGAAAGAGACCGAGTAGGGCAAGCTATTGCACCTGCAGTTGTTGCTAAATCGAAAGGAGACTGAGCTTATATGCCACTAGCTGTTGTCAGAGTTTGCAGAGAAGAGATTGGTAAGAAGGTGAATGACATGAAGGAGAGAGTTTTTGGAGATGTAGTCAGTAATAAGGCGAGGATTCCACTTCAGAGAAATGTTAAAAAGAAGATTCGAGTTGTTATAGATGAAAAAGACCGAGTTAGAGAACACTATGGTTGGTCTATTGGTGAGAAGAAGGTATTCAAGAAGGATGAGAAGAGGTTGGACGACTATCGAGTGGTAAAGTACTTGGATAGTGACTAGTGTGGAGATGTGGATTATCGGGGTAAAGGATAGAAGGGACCCAGAGTGCTCAGGAAAAAGAAGACACATAGCAGACTAGTAGGAAGTTTGAAAGTTTAGAGCTTGAAATGTTTTGAAGGCCAAGAAGTTTTGAAGTCAGAGATTGGGTGATCAGAACCAAGCTGATCTTGAAGTTTTGAAGTCGAAGGCTAGTCGAAAGTTGGGAGGTCGGGATGAAGCTAATCTCAAGTTTTTCTTTAATGCAAGGAATTAATTTTATGGAAGGGTTTTGTTAGGTAAAATTAATAATAAGTTAATTAGATTTTATTAGAATGTCTCTTGGTGTTTAAATGTTTGTCTATGATAGTTTTGGGAACTAGAAAATTTCTCGAATGTTTAGGAAGTTATGTTTATTGTGGAGTATTATTATGAGACTTTGGTTTATAAGGAGTAAACGTTTTGGTGTAATAGAGAGTTTCTGGGAGTGCTTAAATACAAAGATGTAATCTTGTTTTCAACGTGACAAAGAATCAATAAAGTGAAGTTTCTAAGTTTGTGAGAAATTCTTTGTTATCATAAGATCATATTTTCATCACTGAAGAATGCTGAATATGGTTGACAAACCTGTAGATGAAAATCGTTTAGTTGGTCTTCGACTAGTTGTACAATTCTTTTGGCTCCATAATCTAACTAGGAATGTATTGTGACAAATTCGGGTGGACCAACAAATGAATATTAATAAAAACATTATGCATAAAAGGAACATGTACTAATAAAGCATGTAAATTCTGATAAATTAGGCTCAATTAAAATTCTTATTAAAACGTTATTGTTTGGTGCCAATATATAATTCCATGGGTTGAATGCTAGTTTTGTTATATGTTATCTTATTAGTAGAATGCCATCTTCATTAAGTTCTTCACTATCATCACTCAATTACACCATTCCTGGCAACGAAGTCTGTATATAGTTGGCACATTATTTCCGAAAATGTACTTATTCTACTCAATCCTAAACTTACAATTTTCTATGCTATTATTGGTTATCTCTTTCATATTTTTTTTAGGATTTAAGGTTACCTTTCCTAAAAATGTGAAAATAAAACACTTGATAATTTTAGTTGACAAAAATTACAATTGTTGAAATGCAGGCTCTTAACATAATGGTATATGAGAATTAACTCCTCTTTCAAATTGGTTGTTACTGAAATTATGCCATTAAAGTTGAGGAAACAGTGAAGTTGACTGTTGACGACAACATTCTAGTCGCACAAAATACAGGTAAACAATATAAACAAGTTGTTAAAAAATTACAATATAACTAACTCATATCAAATCTCATAAGGACACAATTATAGGAACGTATTAGACATGACAACGGGTGGGGCGGGGCGGGGCGAGTTTTGCCTCCCAGACCCCGACCCCGACTTTTTAATCGTCCCCGCCTCCGATCCCCGTCGGGGTTAAAAATTAAGTCATCATCCCTGTCCCCGTTGGGTTTCGGGTTTCCCGCCCGCCCTCGTTCTATGGTATTATTTTAAAAGTAATTATATATAAATTATAATAAATTAATTTTAAAAATATTATCTTTTACATTTTATTTTTTATAAAAAATAAATTTAATATTATAACTTTTAGAATATTATTATTGATTGAGTGTATATTTTAATTTATTACGTTTATATTAAAATATTTATGCACAAAAAATATATTTGATCATTCTTTTTTCTTCTTATTATAAGTCGTTAATCCTTTAAAATTATTAATCCTTATAAAAAATATATAATAAAAATAAGTTTCAACTAATGATCCTTTTAAAACAATTATGAAAAACATTTAAAAATACTAATAAATAAGTAAACAAAGTTTTTCAAGGAAAATAATATAAGAAAACTGCACAATAATGCATAACCGTGCATAACAATACATATAAAAAAAATAACAAATATTGGATAATTTAATGATCATCCTCCAAATGAGCAACAATGCTACTGTCCATCAATTCACCTGTATAATTTAAAATAAAATATATTATTGAAAAGAGAAATAAAATATTAAAAAATAAATAATAATATTTTTTGAATAAATAAAATAATACCTTCATCACCAGAATCCATGTCATTGAGTAAAATAGCATAATAATCAATTAGTTGAGAATTCACACCATCTAAAGATAAAATATAAAGAGAATACTTGTTAAAATCTAAAAATACAATCATTAAATATATATTTAAAAATATATATAAAACATTACCGTTGTTTTCAGCACTCCATAACCAACTCCTAACTAGGGATGGCAAAACGGGCTAGGCCCAGCGGGCCGGCCTGCCAGCCCGCCATAATATGGCGGGCGGGTTGGTGTTTTCAGCCACCAGCCCGCTTTGACCCGTCCCGCCAAGCCCGTCGAGCCAACCGCATGGACGAGGCGGGCCAGCCAGCGGCACGCCTAATTAATAAAAAAATAATTTTTTATTGTAATAAAATTAATTATAAAGATAATATATAAAGTTAAAAATTTTAAAAAGAGAATTAAAAAAGTTTTATTCTCACATAAAATATTCTCCTTCCCGAAACATAACCTTCTCTCCTGTTCTCCTTATTTATCCTAAGCATCGATTATTTTTATCTTTATTACTTGAATTAAAGGTGTAAGAATTACTCAACCAAGAATAACATGAAGTTTTATCAAATAAAAAAGATATAGGTATTTAAATTTTTCAATATAAAAAATATAAATTTTATAAGTTTAACGTTATTTATATATATATATATATATATATTTGTTATTATTTATTATTATGTAAATTTTATTATTGTTCTAAATTATAATTTCTTAAAATAATGTATTGATTTATATTATTAAATTGAAATAATATATATATATTGAATTATTGACAAACAAATAATAATTTTATTATTAAAAAATTTATTTAAAAAAAATTATTTTTTTCTAAATTATGGCGGACCAGCCGCCAACCCGCCCCTTGGCGGGGCGGGCCAAGGTCTACAGACCGTCATGACTATATCGGGCCAGCCAGCCCCGCTTTTAGCGAGCCAAAGGCGGGGCGGGCCATGTCGCCGCCGTCTCAAAAGAGAGAAGGTC